TCCTCTTTTTGAGGATACTACTAAGACATGTATCTGGCTTCTCTTTGCAAAGCTTTCAGCTTGGACCTCTGACAGGTAACTTTTAAGCAGGCTACAGGTATTTCCAAAAATATGGAGTATCCTTTTTTCGTACAGAATGGATATACTAACTATGGAACCAGAATAGGAGGAAAAAGAGATAAAACTAAGTCTAAAGATTTTACTCTCTCCTCTATGTTCATTTTTGAACCAGACCAACAGCCAGACTAAACGCTTGCAGGAAGCATTTGAGAAACTCCCTTTCTCAGTTTTGGCCTCCCAGCTTTCCAGTCACACAGCTGGGTCCAACTTTCACAATTCACTCATTCTGCTCCTGGGAACCTCTCAGCCCATTAAAGGTTTCAGCCTCATCACGGCATGGGAATATTTGTGGGGATATTCCTTAGCTGAGCCATCCTTTTACATTTTCTGCTTAGTTTCTTTAAACAATACCCTCTTGTTGGGGGTTACCTGTTGTGAAGTTGGACCAAATAGGCAGAGTACATTTATTTATTTAAAATAAATAAATAAATAAATAATCAAACAGAATTTCCTAATTTCCAAAGCCCATTGATAATAAAAACTACCCAAAACTCCCACTACAAATGGGAAAGCTTGAGAGTGGGCACTGGGAGTAATGTCACAGAAAGTATGTGTGACACAGAATGTCTTTTTAACAGGATAGCTGTTGATATAGCAGTTTTTTCCCCTTCAAGAAAATCAATTAGAATTAAAAAGTTGGAAAAATGTCTCTAGGTTATCTCTGATCTACCAAAATCTCACTTGCAGAAACAAACAAAAATTATTTCACTGACTCTTAGAGCTTGCATCACATATATGTAATAAAGGAATTTCAGAGGCTTCTACACTTGCCAGCAGGTGCTAGCTCTCACCTCTTTAAACAACTTTGTTAAGTTCTGAAACCATTTTTCAGCCTCAGAATAAAAATCCAGTATTCTTCCTATATATAAAATCCTTGTGCTCATTTTTTCTGAAAACTGACCCATCTCTTACTAGCCTATACACACCTTCTTAAGTTCAACCCGAATTTACCACAGCTCTGCTAAATTCTGCTTTCCATAACAACTAAAATCCTGCCACCGTGCAATGCTCAAGTGATTAACAGTCACAACCTGAATGTGCACAGAGCAATGCATTTGAACACTTAACATGAGAGGGGCTGCACAAAAGCTGCAAGTGTTGCTGCTGAGGCTATCCAGCAATAGCAGAGCTATCTCCCACATTTTAAATACTCTGCCTCAGTTTAAAGATCATGTAGATCTGCTTCAATTCAATGCAAACTGGAAGAATTTGGCTGCACCTACCTGAAACACTCTTTAAAAAATGGCAGCACAATGGACAAATATATATTTTTGCATGCACGCAGGCATGTAAAGGTTTTTAATCAGGACATCTTTGTCAGAGTCATTAAACAGTGACTAGGCAGTGTCTACAAACACTGGTGCTATCATCTGTCACATGCCACCCCCAAGGAACTGAACTGACCACATGCTGGCAGTCAGTGACATTGTAGTATCAGAAGAAAGATGTGCAGCAGACACGACCAGTGGCACCAACACCATTGCAGAGCAGGCATTTATTGTATTGGGGCTTACCTACAGATGCAGACCATCTCTCGCAGCCTGGCCTTCTGCTCCCTGCCAGTTACGGTGTTTTACGTTTGACTGCAGCGAGGCAGGAGCTACAATAGAAGCGGGTCAGGAGAAATTATATTGTTTTTACAGTGTTATTCATCAACGTGTCTTTCCCTGCTGAGGCAAGTACCTTCCAAACATCATGAGAACACTGAACAAGCCCATGGTCATGGAAAAATTGCTTTCAGTACCACTTGCCACAAAAGATACAGTAAACAAACCAACTAGAACAGCAATTCCAGATGTGGAAATAAAACACAGCAATTAATATAGCTGGGCTCTTCCTTCTGGATATATCCCAAGGACCATTTTTAGCAATCCTTGACAACCTCCATCTTCAAATGTGGGAGCTTTCCGTACCTTTTCTTTATGACACTTATATTTAAGCAAACTTATTCATTCACAAAGCAGCAGAAATGGCTTCTGCAGCTCTAGCTACATTGATGACTAGCAGTTAAGAATTGTCTTTACATGTCCAAATGTGTTCTGATATCTATTTTTCTAAGTTGATTTTAATATAATTTTAACACAGGATGTCAGTGTCCTAGCTGTTGAGCTTCCTCTCCTACTATTGCCCACAGCATGACTCAGCACATGGTAAATAGCTGAATGTTATCTTAACTTGCTCCAGAATTCATCCATGCCAACTGCAACTGAGATCCTGAAAAGGGCCTTCACTCAGATAGGAAGTAATTTAAAATTTTATTAGCTTTCTGGAGGATATGGCAGATATTTTTCCTTTCCTTGGCATCTCAGAGAAGAAGGAGAGCTCCTGGCTTTTATGTGAGGATTTTTTATGTGAGGGAGCTTTTTTTTTTTTTTTTTTTAATCTTTTATGTGAGGGAGCTGGGTCTCTTTAGCTTGGAGGAGACTGAGGAGAGACCTAATTAATGTTTATAAATGTGTTAAGGGTGAATGTCAGGAGGATGGAGCCAGGCTCTTCTCAGTGATGCCCAATGGTAGGACAAGGGGCAGTGGGTACAAGCTGGAACACAGGAGGTTCCGCTTAAACTTGAGAAGAAACTTCTTTACAGTGAGGGTGACAGAGCCCTGGAACAGGCTGCCCAGGGAGGTTGTGGAGTCTCCTTCTCTGGAGACATTCAAGACCCGCCTGGACGCCTTCCTGTGTGATCTCATTTAGGTTCCTGCTCCGGCAGGGGGATTGGACTAGATGATCTTTCGAGGTCCCTTCCAATCCCAAACATTCTGTGATTCTGTGATTTTTTTATAAATAAACAAGCAATGCTCAGTAAAGGGAGAGAACTAATACAAAGTAATCAAGTTGAGATATTTTAATTCTTGGCTGATTAGTCAAACCTACATCAGAAGACCCTCACAAAGCCAGAGATTTGGAATGGAGAAAGATTTTTTTCACTTGACTATGTTGTATTGCAGCACCCAACCAGGAGGAGAAAGTACACAGAGAGAAGAGCAGGCAGCCGCTCTCATTTTGGCACAAACCCCCCACATTTCTACAGTACAATAGAGATCAAAAAATTCTCTAAGGCAGGCCAGGGCAGCCTTTGAGTCTGCCACATTACCAACCCCATCAGATAGCTAGAATGCTGGGCCCATGTTACCCCAAAGAACCAGGTGCTACAACATGAGAAGCCACCTTCTGCCTTCACTCTTATCACTTCTGAAAAACAGTGAAGGCCAGGGCCAGGAAAGGGAGAAAGAAAACGGGAATTCCTCTTTGGTTTTAATTTTAACTCATGCCAGGGCACATAAACCTACTGATGGTTTCATGTGCTCTTCCTCTGCACCATGGAGAATGCTGTAAAGCAAGGGATAAAAGGGCAGCATTCACCACAGTATACACTGCAAACTGAAATTACAGTAAAAGCAAAGACACCTTTACTGAACAACGACAAACAGAATCAGGCTTTTAGTTTACGACACAAAGAAATGCTCCTGACGAGAGACCTCAGGACTGCAGAGTCTGGTTCTGTTTGGTTTGGGGTTTTTTTTAGACAAGATAGGCATTTAAGTACATGCCAAATTTGTAATGTGACCATGTAAATATAATGTCAGTGAACAGATGTTCACCAGCTATATTAAAAATAAACCTTTAAAATAGATAAAGTCCTCTAGGGAAAACATTTATTCAACCAATTTACAGAGTAAGCCAATTAAGGCAAAATATATTACTTGGCAATAGACAGGCTTGCACTCAGTACAAATGAGCTGGCTTAACAGTATATTGTATATAAAAATGTCCTTTGAAAGTATCTCAGAAAGGTAAAGGTAGAGCAATATAAGCTGAAGAACTTCTTTAAGGCAAACAGAAAGTATTTGCTTATTGTTAATTTCTTAAAAAAAAGTATTACCAAAATATTTTCTTCACAATTACTCCCATGTTTCTAAATGAAGACTTAAGATTGTGTGAGCATGGATAGAGAACATTTATAACCACAAAAAAAATCAGACAATACTGAAGACTTAGATAAAAAACAGTGAGCTCATAACATCAAGAACGCATTTAAGACTTTAAAATGTTTAGAAAACCCAGAATAGCAAAGCAAGTGATACACATCTCAAGATAATTCCATATAAAATACACAGTTTGGAAGCACTGGAGTAAATTAAGTTGTTGAAACTGCTGAGATAATTTCATGTGCAAGTGGCACCTGATCTAAAACTCACTGACATAACTTGAAATTTGTCTAGAGTTTTAACTGGACATTAATTGCATTACTGTTACATCAAAAGAAAAAAGATACGGCACAGAAAATGAGATTTCAAAATTATTTAGGAATGACTTCAACTTATGGGGCATGGATTTGTGCTCTTCTTCAGTAGCTCACTGTAACAAACTACTGTAACTACTGCTAATTTTGTAGTTGCAAAAACTACTCAGCATCACTCCTGAGAACTTACATACTGACACCAAAACTATGAGGTGTTAAGCACCACCTAAGCACAGACCCCAAGAAAACATCTAATACAGAAGGACAGTCTCTATGGACTGAAATGCAAATATAACATGCAAGTTATGCTGTCAACATGTTTATGTTACTAATATAACAGAAGTAGCTAAACAATGAATCTCTTCTTTAAAAAAGTATACTAACTAAAATATCTCAGCAAATGCCTAGTAAGGTGACAAATAAAAACATATTCCACTTTACAAACTGTAATGCTATTTATGCCAGTTATAAATATATGTTTGCTCTGATTTCCTGTTTTGTGAATCATATTGGAAATCATATAGTAGTTAAAAATTGCAATTGCTCACTTCCACTATTGGAAATTACCTTCACTTCTTAAAAAGTAAAATACAGTTTACAGTTAGATTAGAAATCTGTGTTGTATCCACTGAGAATTAAAATATGTAGCTTTCACTCCAATTCTAGAATGAAAAGCAGTATCCCCTAGTGTCATGGATCAACCTTCTTTCAAACGGTCCTGGGTGGTAAGTGTTGTTTGTACATTCCCGCTAGAGCCTTAGCCGCACTGTAGATCATCTGTCGACGGGACATGCCAGTGAATACCATGTGCCAATCAGTCCTGTTGACATTCAGTATACTCTTCTCAAGGACTTCGCCCACAGTCACCAGCAGGCCTGACCATCTCAGACTGTAGTCTTGAGGAGTGAGACTCTTAGCCTGTGTAACATTTTGAAAAGTGATTACTGAAGGAGTTTGAAGAGTAGTTTTGTTTCTATCTTTAACATTATCAATTTTCATAAGTAATCATTCCTATGATTAGGAAATTGAAGGGTATCGGAATCTAAATTTCAGACTGCCCCATAATTTGTCTAGCCAGTTATAGTTTTTGGATTTGTATGGATTTGTATGTATCATAACCCAAATGACATCTGAACAGTGTAAAAGTAAAACACGGTGCTTAAAATAAAAACATTCTGCCATTAACAGGAAGTAGTTTTCTCCTTTAAAGTAGCCAAAAGATGGAATCAATAATGATACATATTTATACAATGACTCTTACCCTCCAAAAGTTTTAAAAATTACTAAACAGTCCCTCTGAAGCAGACAAGTAGCCAAATACAAGAAGAAAGCTGAGCCTGACAGAAATGGAGGACCCAAGCTATTTGCATGAGATCACAGAGGAATTACATACTGTAATTCCCTGAAGCTGGAAGCAGAAAGGATACAATGGAGTAAGTATCCCTGTGTTTATCTGGTCTGACAACCATCTCTGGCCACGGTTGCACACAATGAAGGGTAGAAGACTTTTAGCCGCAGTAAGACTCTTCTTAGTATTACTCAGTTCTTAAGAGCATTGCACACTGGGCCCCATTCTTCAACAGATTCTTATTTTGACAAATATTTGAGTTAGTCTGTTTCCAGTGCATGTACAGCAGATCAAAGTTCATTAGTGTGCTTCACCCTTCCTAAAACTGGAAATGTTGTCTTGCAACAAAACCAGCACATGTAAGTTTGTTAGAACATACAGTCTACTCTGATATCAAAATAACTTGTTATTATCAAGAAGTATATAAAAGGCAGATTTTGTAAGCAAAGGAACAGGGAACTCTCCTTATTGGTCAGAAGATATTGGCACTAAGAAGTAAATAAGAGTGCACCTAGCTGCAAGTAGGGACTAATGTCTGATTATGATATCTCCATTACCATGCACAATTGCACATAACTTAATAAATTATTTACTTGGTATTTTTACTCGTGAAAATAAGTAAAAGTCAAATAAAATTTAAAAAGAAAACCAATCTTGCAGTAGTTTCCCCATCACAGTTGCAATTTCTTGCTCAGCAAAAAACAAGATGACACCTGGTCTCTTACCAGAAAAAGGTTCTCAAAACAATCCCTCAAATCCACCTTTTTACCTCCTCAAATCAAGCAATACTTAGAGTTACGAACAGCCATGAGTGATGGATTATGTGCTCAGAAAATGCTATTCCATTGATAAAGATACTAACAAAAGAGTATCTAACTCTATACAGACAGTTTTACCACTATTTCCATCACACAGAACAATAAAACACATAGCGAGCAAGAATTCTGAAGAGCATAATTGCTTTTAATGTTGCCTCTATTAAGTCTTTGTCCTGGTTTTGCTAGGATAGAGTTCATTTTCTTCTCAGTAGTTAGAAGAGCCGTGTTTTGGTTTCAGGTCAGAGCTAGCCCAGTGAAACTATCACAGTCTTTTATAGTGTGAATAGCAAGGAACACTGCCTGCCCAAAACATATTTATTCTCTGTTCTTAGTTTGAAATACAACTATACAATTGCTGTTTTTTTCCTGTCATAATCTGGATTTTGCTTAAAGATACTAGACTGGATTTATACAAATGCATGTTTCTTGCACAGCCCTGAGAGAATAACATTCTGATCCTAGAGAAACATAACGAGAACAAATGTAACAACTGGCATGTGTACTCAATCAAGAGCCCAATGATTCCCCACCACACATTATGTGTAATTTAATTGAAACATATAATAGTAAGAATAGGAAAAATTTAACTCTGAAGGTATGAAACAAAGCTATGTTTTACTGTTGATGTATATACAAGAACAGTTTTCTTTAAATAGAAGAGTAAAATTCAATCTAATTCAAGTTTAAAGGCTTACACTTCTACTGAATCTGTACTATACTCCTACTATCCACTAAATGGGCTGCAAAAAAGTTAAAAAACAATAAAGTTTTCTGCTATTACAAGGTAAACACTTCTTTTCAAAGTCACAAAATACGTTTACCTAAAATAAAGCTCAAAAAGATACACTATGAACTAGTTTTTAAATGACAAAATAGAGAATATTCTGTGAAACAAAAATTAAAGCTACTTATTTTGCTTTGTTTAAAAAAAAAATTTTGTTCATATCAATGCTCCATAGAGAATGTGACAATTATTTCAGTAGTAATTTCACATTGCTGTGCCTGTTTTCACAGCATCATAAAATGGTTTGGGTTGGAAGAGGCGTTTAAAGATCATCTAGTCAATGAAGCTGTATCTGCTTAATTAGTATTTTCTTCCTGTAGCTTCACAACTTTCTCCACTCTTCTTGAAAAGTATTCTGGAAAACTACAGAGAGACAGAACAATATTTCTCCTTTTGCCACTCATCAGCTTTTCAAAGTTGTTAAGAACTCTGAAAAACAGGAACTAAAACCAGTACCACAAATATTCACTCTCTTGGAACTGGTACTACTAAAAAAACAAAAAAAACCCTCCAAAAGACAGTTACTATTTGTTTTCTCAAAACAACCCCCTGAGGATCAAACCCCAATAAATTCTTCACAGAAACATTTATTTTAAAATAATTTTTAGACCAGAGTTAACTAACGTATGACTCCTATCTGCTGTCAGGCAACACGCAGTGACTGGAGTTAGGAGCAATTCCCAGTGCCTGCCCAAAGAAATGTAAACAAGTAATGAAAAACTTCTACGGCTGCTATTTAAGAACTGTAGAGTATTGCATCACCATGGTATTTCTAAGATTTAAATGTTTCCATTTCAGAAATTTTACATCCTTGTCAGAAAAGCACAGTCAGAAGGGGCAACCAGTCTTGCCTTTTACGTGAGTCTATATGTTCACGGTGGAAGTAAGTCCAACCATAGATCTGAAGAAGGAGTGTCCTTTATTTATTAGGAATGTGTTTTTGGAATGCTAATCAGTATAGTATGCTGTCTGTTGTATGGTAATTAACAATATAAATACCGAGGCTTTATGAGCTTAATTAAAAATTAAGTGGTAAAATCTCACTCTCTACAACTACCTGAAGGGAGGGTGTAGAGAGGTGGGGGTCGGTCTCTTCTCCCAAGTAACAAGTGACAGGACCAGAGGAAATGGCCTCAAGTTGCACCAAGGGAAGTTTAGATTGGATATTAGGAAGAATTTATTTACTGGAAGGGTTCTCAGGTATTGGAACAAGTTGCCCAGGCCAGTGGTGGAGTCTCCATCCCTGGAGGTATTTGAGAGTCACGTAGACACAGTGCTTAGGGACATGGTTTAGTCAAGGACTCGTCAGTGTTAGATTAGTGATTGGACTTGATGATCTTAAAGGTCTTTTCCAAGCTAGGCAATTCGGTGGTTCTGTGATCTCAATTTATAAACTTGCGCCTAAATGAAGTGTAAACTACTTCACCGAATTGCTAACGTTTATATGTGTGCACACAGACACTTCAGTATTACAAAGTTTTGTTGGCATTAGATGAAACTCCGATACATATGTGAAGTAAGTTAAGGAAAGGAAACCAAGCCTTCAGATGGATGAGAGTGCTTACTGCACTTCACTGGTGCAGCGTTATTCAAACTGCAAAGACCTCCTTCTGCACCTGAGAAGAATGAGTATTCTTATTTTATCTACATAAAGATTCATGAGTCACTGAACAAGACTGACGACAATATTTTAATGATTAAAGTTATATTTCCTTTCTGAGGTTGTTTGTGGTTAATTTCTTCTTGATTAATACTTCCTCTTGGTTAACTTATTCTTGAAATATTTCTTCTTTATTTCTAAAAAACTTAAAATTAGTGTTTCCAAGTGCCATGTATTGCAGAATGAGACTCTTAATGGAGAACTGCTTTTCCATAAATGCCTGAAGATTTTTAAGTAATACACAAACATGATTAAAAAACAGTTTTTATTCTCATTTCATAAATTGAAACATTCAAGGGGAGCAACTGTCACTAAGAATTGACATCATAAATGAAATTAAAACTTAAGTCTTATGTCTCAACTGTTAACCCGTTGGAAAGAAAACTGAAAACTTTTATTGCAAAGGCACTGGTGTTGCTTGGGTAAAAGCTTCCAGATGAATTCCATGAATTGGATCCTCAATAATCAGACATCCAATGTCAAACCACCTGCAACGACGTGCAAGTTACTTTACTTTTGAGTACTGAGTACCACTCAGTTGAAAAACAACATGTTAACAGTTGAATTATGACCATTTTAGAAACTCTACTACAATGTAGTAGTAATGTAATAAAGGGTTTCAGTGTTGTAGTATTTTTCAATTCAAATTTGCATATATCAACTTATATATATATATAAAATTATACTTCATATATGTGCATTTTAAATACATAATATACAAAAAAAGATATAAAATACATGAAACTTACAGATCAAAGAAACAAAGAAAACTGGTGGGTTGGGTTTGTGTTTCTTTTGGCCACACTTATTACACTACAGTTTTCATTCAATCTTTGAAAGAATGTTTCTCACTAAGATAAGCTTCCCTAACATTTAAAAAAAATAATTTATTTAATCTATTTATCATTCATTTTCTATATTCAGAAGATTTTTTGGTAAGTCTAAGCCTATAACAATAATTTAAATTATTTCTTCAGAGAAACTTCTGCACCTTTCAGAAAAGATGGTGCCTGCCGTAGCAGATACAGTAAAAGTTACTGAAGGAGTATCCAAAATTGTTCCCTATCAAGCTTGCAAAAAATATTAAATAATTTCTTCAGATTAACTAACAATACTGACATGATCCAAATAAAACCAGGAGCAATGCATCATCACTACCTCAGTGTATTCAACTCCTGGGACAGTTTTACAGTTACGTTTCCACAGGAAAGCACAAACACAAAATAAAGGCCAAGAATCATAACAGATTTAACAAGGAAAATATCATTGTAGTTGTTGTTTCATATATATTACATACGTGTCTAGATATAAATTGTACTTTATTCTTTAAAGCATGGGAAGGAAGGATGTTGTTATAAAAAGAAATGCAAGACTCCAATTTGAAGAAACAACTGGCTAGGCCACGTAAGCTTCATGTTAAGAGTTTAGTGGAGAGCAAGACAGGAAGAAATACTTCACTTGTGTCATGTCTGTAGTGGGGAACAGAGCACAGGAATGCTCTGTGATAGACGACTACCCCACTTGCGCCTATGAAAGGCTGTTGAGAAAGCTTCATGGTTGAAGATAACTTGCTCCCAAATAATGAAGGAGCTGGAGTCTAAAGGGTAAATAAAATACACATAAAATAGTTTGCAATCTTTTATATAAACAGTACTCAGGACATGCAATTGCAAAGGGAAATAACACCCTTCAGCTGTCTGATGGATAACTGAGAGGTTTAGCTATGAGCAGTGACTGATCTGTTAAGTGTTAGGTGTAGAGCTCTCTAGTACTGCTGGGTGGTTACCTGGAAACTCCTCTCCTTCAGACATGTGCAAGTATGGCAAACATCAGCAAAACACTGACTGCAGCCCCAATATTAGAACTGCAACACCACAATGCTCACTTGAGAATAATAACTAATCAATTACTAGCACCACAACCTAACATTTCATTGCAGAAAAAAACAAGGGTCAAAAGGAGTTCAAATGTTTTTTAACGCTATGCGAGGAAGCTTTCAATGTCGCCTACTGAATAAAAATTAAAGCATGCATTAAGTTATTGTTTGTTTCTACTGTTACTAATATCAAAGATCAAGACGTTCTTGGGACATGTAATGTGTGGACAGAAGAGGTAGAATTCCTTTCAGCAGCACTGCATGAGCTCTTTCATGTCGAGTACTTTAAGCAACATTTTCAGATTTAGGAATGAGTAAATTGAGAACAACAATTATTTTGGAACAAAGATCTCATTGTCATAGTTACTCCTTTGCAGAAATACGATAAAACACCTAAATCATACTAAATGGAAATAAATACTGAACAAAAATTAAAACACTTCCTAATTCTATTTCCTTTAGAAAATTCACCATCCATCTTCCCCCAAGGATACTAAGTGTAACTTTAAAAATGGAGGAAGAGTATGTGTCAAAAAAATAAATCAAAGCCCATCACATGAACAAAAACACAAACATGAGAAAAAAACTATTTAAGTTTACAATAATTAAAACAATACTTTGTCCTTAATATTTTGGAAATTAAGTATAAAGCTACTTTAAGAACTGTCTGTCAGACAGCATGTCAGGAAATCAAGTTGTAATGTATTCCAAAACATCACTGTTATGTGTGTGCAGTGCAAATCAAAAGCAGTAAGCACATTCTCAGAGAAATGAAAAAGGGTAAATGAAATGAAAAAAGGTAATATATTATCTGATAAATTCATATTACTACAAGCACCAGAACAATATACCGGCTGAACCACATACAATATCAGAGAAAGAGAAGAGTGTGAGCACACAAGAGTGAGCAAACTACTAGACAAATTCCAACTTTTACAGCTCCTTAATTTTGTCAGTTCAGTGTAACTTCATTGTGTTTTTATATTGTGAATCTTGACATACCTGACAAGGATTTTGTATATTAAAGTCTCAAGATTTTCAGCACCAAAATCAAGTCTGCCAAAGCAATTCTGAAGATAGACTCTCTCCCTTCTTCTGCTGAGAGTGATACCGTCAGCAACTCTTTATAGGCCCCTTCGAGTCAACAAAGAATATTCCCTTTTTTCCCTCCCCCTCACACTTTGCCAGGAATACATTTGAAGTTCTCACTTGTCAGGAAGCAATTCCTCAATGAAGTTTTCTACTGATACAGCAGGCTGTTTTTCATGTATTACTCCTGTTCGACGTAAGCTGTCTATCCTTTCTTGGGCTCCCTAAATGGTAACATAAGCTGTTAGACAATATTCTCTTTGAATCACAAGATAATACAATGCTTGCAGATGAATGCAAAAAGAAATCTGTAACATACTTTTCAAGTTAAACAGAAAATATGAGAGATTTTGAAAAATTACTCTTAATGTTAGAAAAGCAAAAAACAAAACTAATGAAAAGCCATAACAGGATCCCGACCTGTGACAAAAACTATGATAAAACTAATCAAATACTTTTAGTTTGTTATTTTTCCATGAAAAAAACTGGATTAGCACGTAAAGAATTCCTAACCTATAAAAGTGCCAAGTTTTACTATTAGTTAAAGCATCAGTATCTATTTCTGTTACTCACACTGACATTTTTGCAGCTTAAGATTCGTTGGGTTTAGATCCTTTAAGAACTTTGGACCAACTTTGTAAGACCAAGGGAGAGAATCAGGTTGTTGTGGTACTTATCCAGCTAAGATGTAGGAATCATTTGCTCTGAACCTGTTATCATTCTGAATTTGTAACAGAAATACTACTACCATACTGCAGTTGCTAAACAGGTAAAGAAACATACATGTTACCCTCCTTTACCTCAATATAAAATTGTATCAGCCAATGTATTGCTATGAGGATAGGCTTTACTCAGCTGTGAACACTGCCACAGCAGTTAGGAGAAAATACTTCCTTTTTGATGAATAAATGATTTGCTTACATTTAAGAAACAAATTACTAAATAGTTGTTTTCAGGGTTTTTAGTTATTGGCCAAGGACGTGGTTGCACCCAGATACACCTGGTGAACATGTACATTTTTTAAATTTGATGAAACAACCCTTGCTAACCCTCCCTCTGGGCCAGCACAGCTGTTTGCAAGGTTCCACAGTCATTTCTTACTTTTTAAACATAGCATAGATCTTTTTGGGAAGATCCCTGACAAGTGTTGATAAAAGTATCTCTGATCTACAGAATTAGTGAGAAGACAACTCAGTCTCAAAGGTCTCTCTTAATTTCTAACCTTCCCAACATGGTGTGCTAGCAACCGACTACGAAGAAATGCCTGATATACTTTGGAACTACAGTAATAGCATAATGTATGCTAGATGTGATGACCATCAATGACAGTGTAAGGAAACTGAAATAAATATTATTCATTTGCTGTGAATGTGTTTGTAAAAAAAGCCAAAAACTATTTCAACAAGCAGCTTTAAACTGATCTAATGATCCAGATGGCAATTAAAAAAAACCCCAACATTTACCTATCCTACAAATTGACCTTTCTTTTATGGAAAATGTCTGGTGAATGTTTCCACACTCTTTGCATTGAAGATACTCCAGTGCTGTTAAATATTAACTTACTTTTAAACCTGCAGCATAGCCCACAGGTTGGGGTGCGATGTTAGACTGTGCAGCCTCTCCAGTAACAACAGCCATTCCAAAGACTTCCTGAAAGGCATCCCGAATAGCTGCAACTTTTACCTCTTTATTAGAAGTAACCACTATGTCCAGTTCTCCTCCAGTTTCTGTAAAAAATATAAATATATATATGCACGTATTTTTCCTCATTCACATTATAAACTAGTTAAAATACATTCTACATGTTAAGAGTATGCATCAGTTGGTCTTCTCTTTCTCATGCACTGTACAGAAGTTCTTTCATGAAGCAGAAGTAACTTAAGTTAGGAAGTAAGTGTTAGATGAACAGCTAAATGATCAATGGATGAAACATGGACAACAGGAACTGATGGTTGCTCAGCACCTGAAAAAAAGCATATCACTCAAAAGCCACTGGACTGTCAAATTAAATAAGTTTTGAAAGAAAGGCTCACCTTGCTTTCTAGTTGTCCTTGACTGTGAATTTTAGTGTCTGATAGTTTAACTTAGCTGGCAGCCAAACACGACACAGCCACTCGCAGCCTCCTCCCACCCCCTGCCCCTTTCCCCCCAGCCAGGGAATGGGGGAGAGAATTGGAGGGGTAAAGGTGAGGAGACTTGTAGGTTGAAACGAGAACAATATAATAATTAGAGTAAAATAAAATTAAAATAATAAGAATAATAAGAGCAGTAATGATAACTACATATCTATGAGTGATGCAGAGTATAATTGCTCACCACCCGCTGTTAACGATTCCAGAGGAGCGAAAAGGAACCCCAAAACTGAAATTGCAACCCTGGAAAAGCGAGCCCGAGTGATTCCCAAGAGAATCCCCCCCTTTTCCCATCAGCCCCAGTTAATATACTGAACATAATGTGATATGATATAGAACATCTTATTGGCATATCCAACTGTCAATTCTGGGTTTTACTAACTACTACACTTTTCTGCTGCACCCCTCCCTTCCAGTCCTCTCTTCTTGCAAACTGCCCAAGCCCAGTGTCCTTGTAGTTATCAACATTGTTCTCATCACAGTCCCCACTGAAACCAAAGCACAGTGCTTTCTAGCTACTAAGAAGAAAATTAACCCTATCTTAGCAAAAACCAGGACACAGTGTCATTTTATTGCCTGTCTGCCTCCCTACAGCTTTAACCTGTTTTTAGAAATTAAATATCTATGGAACCAAAAAGTTGTAAGTATTTCTGAATTATTTCCATATGGCAGTATCTCCATAAAGAAGTACAAGTTTTCACTAAGCTTTTTTAGAATAAAACAGAACAGTTTAATTAAAAGAAATCTAAAACTACTAAAAAGACTGATGAGTTCAATTATGCCTCACATCTGCCTTTATCACAGCTGGATCATTTTTATTGTCAAACTTCATTTATGCAAAAACACCTCATAAACTTGTCCCTGCTGTGATAAGTTTTCTTAAGAACAGCTTAAACTTTCTTCAAACATGGAATATGACATCAGAGAAAGCTGCATAAGTAAGTTGCATCAGAAATTGTAAAGGACAAATTAATGGAAAGCATATCCACAAGCAGGCATTAAAAGTAATAGTAATGGACACGTCTCTTGTCATCCGCAGTCCAATGGCTGCGAACAATGGAGGAACAAAGAGAAAGGACGACGGAAGTCACCAGATCTAGTGTCTTTTACGATACAGCATTTCCTGTTGCTTCTGCTGAAGACAGAATATTGAGCTAGATGAACCACTTGTGGTTCATGAACCACCTGTGCAAGGGCACAAACTGAAACACAGGAGGTTCCATATGAACATCTGGAAAAACTATTTTACCTTGAGGGTGACTGAGCAGTAGCACAGTTTGCCCAGACAGGTGCTGGAGTCTCTATCCTTGCAGCTAGATATTCAAAGCTGCCTTGATGCAGTCCTGGGCAACTGGCTCTAGGTGGCCCTGATGAAGAAGGGGGGTTTGACAACATGATTTCCAGGGGTCCCTTCCAACCTACACCACTTTGTGGTTCTAGGATCCAGCAGGGCATTTCTTATGGCAACAGTAGCAAAGTACTGAAGAAACAGCTTTTTAACCTGTCATTTCCCAGGCCACTGGACTGTACAAAGCTACCTCTTAAAATAAAAAAAGAACAGAGCCCAGTGGTTTTGGTTCTAAACACTAATGCTCCACCTAAGTACACATGCTGACAAAGTCTGCAGTATTTATCCTGATGTAAGAAAAAACACTGATAATGATAAGCCCAAAGCTTAAAGGTTAAATAAAGAAAATTTTTTTCTTTGTCTTCTATTACTTAGCAGACCTCAGTTACAGGAAACATATTACATATACGCAGAATTGCTAGAGACATACCAGAACAGTAGTAAAACTTTTTATTTGGTTTTTAGGCTATTTTTAAATTTTTTATGTATCAACTGCTTTATTGAATGGAACTGGATGTACACATCGCTGAACTTCAGGAAATTGTTTTAACAGTAAACAGGACTAAAACAGGGTAACAACAGGACTGAAAAAAAATATTGAGAGTATCTTTTTTCATTGATTCCTTCCTGATAGAAATCAAGTTAATATAAGTAAACAAGTGCTTAAGATTAACTGCAGGCTTTTGCTGCAGTTAGCCTTGTTTGAGTGCCCAAGGATAGAAAAACTGTTTAATAAAATAAACAGTTTAAGTTTAATAAAACTTTTTAATGCAACTAAAAACTAACCCATAAAATACTTAGCAAATTACTGCATAGTAACATAAGACTAGTAACTGTGCCCCATGTTTGTGTATTGCTACCGCAGAATATAGATCATGTTCTTCTGTATTAAGGATCACCATACATCAAAAGCCTATCTCTGTTCATCACAGATAATACAGAAGAGAAACAAAGATATTACATGGATTAAAAGAAACAATTTGTGATAATATCTGTCACACACCATGGAAATATTAAAACCTAAAATATAAGAATTAGATATACCATGGTAAATTCTGAGACAGAACTGTCACCCTAAATTAAGCTCTGACACTTGAACATGAAATTTCATTGTACTGTGTGTATTATAAACTGAAATGACAGTTGCATATAGAATTTAAGATTCCTTGTCACCTTTTGCTATAAAAGCATTGATGTTTATGCTTATAAGATGACCATTTACCATGCAGAAAGAAATTTTCTATTCCAGGTGCTGGTCTCAGATGACAACTTCAGAACGTGCCAATGCTAACAGTTCAGCTCTTTCCAGGAAAGAGATTATAGAAATACTGTTTGCTCACAAACACACACACAGAAATTTAGCCACCTCATCCAGAAGCTTGGGCACTTCCAGGCTTGAGAGGTGGGCTTGTGCTAA